AAAAAAAAAAAAAAAAAAAAGCAGCATGTATGGCATACTACTGCCATGAAAAAACATACCCACAAAACCAAAAGCAGCCACATACCATCATTCAACACTTGCGTTTCCTCTTCAGCACGTTCATCGGCAAGTCCTATTACTCCACAGGACTGCTCAAGTTTGTCCTTGCTAATGCCAATCTACCAGAAGCTCAGAGGAGAAAACAAATCAGTCACCACAGGCTGGAGTGCTCAGTGCAGGTGCCCTGAAACAGCAGGTATTGGAGGGTGGCAGCCAATTTCCCCTTTAATTTCTTTGTAATAAGAGTGGTTGTCACAGTTGTTAAACCCTGGCTAAAGTTAGCACCACATCTGCTAAATCCTGTAAATACGGCCGAAACTTTGATCAAACTGGCTGAACAGCTTGGTTAGCTTGCATGGGTTTATTTTAAGTAAGTTTGAAGACTAAGTTTAGCATATGGCAGACTGAAATACAACTCCTAACATCTCTGCTTTCAAAACCAGAATTGGTAATTAAATGGACAGTTAAGAACCACTTCAAACCTGAGGCCACCAGCTTCCAGATAAAAAGAAAACTTCTTCCGAACTGAGAAAGTGGTTGTATCTGGATCAAACCCACAGCTGGCAGGAAGCTTTGCGTTGGTTTTATCAGGTCGTAAGACGTTATTACTCTCACGAAGTCTACTTTCTCTCTTAAACTGCAGTCCTGATGACCGGCAGTCCTCAAATAAATAATTGTGCAAGGATCACTGTTTTCTTCTGGATCTGCCAAGGCCCTTCTAAGCAGGCTGGCTGACAGAGGGACGGGTTACAGGCACTGCTGGTCCAGGCACCACCGCACAGAGAAAAATCCCCGCTCCTGCGCAGGAGGGGTATGGCAGCACCCGGGCTGCTGGTGGGCAAAGCCTGAGCTCTGCAGCCAAACACTGCTTCAGGTGAGCCCTGATCCATCAAAGCCTGCTATAGGAAATGCTGTTCAATGCAGACCAGACTGGTTTTGCACGTCCAGCGTGCATTTGAAGTTTGCTGTTAGTACCAGAGCTTTGAGATCCAGGATAAAAATGAGCAGTTTTCTGTCTTCCCACAACTGCTCACCTGAGAAAGCAGCACAGCCTGCCTTTTCGGGTCTCCTTCTTACGCCGGGAGCAGACCTGGTCCTTACCTTGCCAGCTGCTAATGATAACAACTCGATGCTTTCCCACAGTGCACAGTATCATGCACTTATCTGATCTGTTGACTCCCAAATTAGAAGAGCAAAATCTCCTTGGGAAACTCAAGAACAGCAAGTCACCTTTCCTCCCTGAAAACTGGAGTACGGGACATACTGTACCATACATACAGAAGTGTTTATTGCCTTTAAAGTAACTATTCAGCTTTCATCAATAACCAGAAAAATTTAAAGTCACTGTCAACAAGGAGACTGAAATACAGAACAACAGACAGCAGGGCTGGAAGAGGGCATCTACCCTTCCCCTGAGTCACTATATCATTCCTGGCAAGTATTTATCTCTTCTCTCCCTAAAAATCTCCAGTGATGGAAATTCTGCAATATCCCTCAGCCATCTACTTCATTAGCCTTACAGCTAATGAAGCTTTTCCCAGTACCTAATCTAAACCTCCTTTGCTGTGATTTCATTTGCTACTTCTCATCCCATTTACAACTGAAATGCGGAATAATTTACTCCTGTCCTCTTCACGGCAATTTGAAAACTGTTTACATGCCTCTTTCATCTTCTCTTCTTTAGGCTGAGCAATCGTATTTCCTCCAGTTTTTCCTCACCAGCTGTATTTGGTCTGTCTCTCCCCATTGCTGCTGTTCCTAGGACATTCCATAATCCCACATATTTGAAATGGGTGAGGGTGACACAATTCACCATCTTTATCTTAGTATTGAGTTGTATATTCTTTTGAAGCATCCAATTTACTAACTTGAAACAAAATATACATGTCAATGTAAAAATACTCATATTTTCCCTATATGCAAGTCTCCCTCTTGCAAACAGGCCACCCTTCCTAACCCACAGTGGCCAAACAGGTGTGTTTGGCTACCGATCACACACTGGTACCATCTTTTTTGGTCCTGTAATGTGGAGTAACTCTCCAAATATTAGGCTTCGCACCAGTCCTTATCCTGGCAGCAGTTCATCGTGCTCGGTATGAGTTGCGGAGCCACGAATGAAGTGAGACGTTTGTCTGCTCCTAGGGTGAACTCTTCCCTCTCGCATCTCCCAAGCCCGGCACCCAGACTTCTCCAGACTGTGGTTTCCAAAGCAAGCGCACTGCTGAAACTACACCAAAGCATCAACCCACGTGGCCCAGCAATAGACCCTATCAAAAGCAGCCCACAATGGTTTTGTGCTCATGTCTACAGAGAACCAAAATCCCAAGCGACTCTGGGACCCTCCCAGTATCAGTTTCTACCTGGCCCACTAAACGCAAAGAAGCCACAGCCACAACACGATGTGGTGGCTCACAACACAGTGCATTTGAGGTAGGAAATAAGATTTAGCAGGGGGGTTGGACTAGATGATCTCCCGAGGTCCCTTCCAACCCTTGCGATTCTGTGATTTGATTTGTTGGACTGCACCAGCGCTAGGTCAGCACATTGCAGCCTATCTACAGCACACGCCTTCTGCTTGAGCCTCTGCCGCAATGAACAAGAAATTAAAAAGTTAACTCGCTGTTATTTCTTTCTCTCTGATTCACTATGTGTCTCAGTGGACCTTTTCATACTGTTTCTGTTCATTAGCACCAAACTGTGAACATTGCAGCCTTCAATATGCAGTTTTCAAGTGTAACAGCATTTCCCTTAAGTCAGGACAACCATGAATTCACAGTGCTTGGTCAAATCAGATCTTAGGTCTCCTGTCCTACTCGTGAAGTCTTAAATCCCTCCACTGTTAGCCCTGTGCTACTAGAATGAAAAAAACCCTGCTGCACGTGTTAAAAGTTTGTGGATTTGGCAGAAAATTTGACATAACCTAAGGCACCTAAATCTGATATTAGGAAAGGTGTGGCACATCACAACATGTCAGTAAACTGGCATTGCCATTAATCCTGCCCTGGAGAAGAATGACTCCTGTACTGTCAAACTGCAAATCAAGACGGGAGATGGCTCTATGCCTTCTCACTGTTACAGGCCAGGGATGACACACGCCGGAGCTGTCTTTCCCCACGCTGCTGCTCACCCAGTGACTCCTCCCCACTCCCGCCCCTCTCCCTGTGCAAAACCAGCGGGCTCTGTACCTCCTCACCAGCAGGAGAGATGCTCGCACAGAATAGGAGGCCTGGCAAGTTCAGTCCAGAATGCACTTGCTGAAGTTAATTAGATCGCAATAACATTTCCCAGGTTGCACATTCCTGTAAGGAAGAAAAAAAAAAAAAAAAAAAAAAAGAACTATTAATTGCGAAACCGAAACATTGGGGACCACAGAGCCGGGGTACGTATCTATCACGCATCTCCTTGCGTAAGTAGAAATTGTGCATGAGAAACTGGCTGCATGTAAAGAGGACTCCACTACCATCTGAAGAGGAATCAGAACAGGAAAGCACCCTGGCTGTGCTGGCCTTATCAGTCCCTGAGGCCAAAGGGCCTAATTTGTTCTCAGACAAATTTAAGGTAATTCCCCTGACTTCAGTATAACGTAGTAAAAGCCAATATAAATGGTAGAATGAAAGCAGAAAAGCCTAAAAACATGTGTGGATGAATGTGGTGTAAGACTGAAGGGAGTTACCCACTGCTACAGTTGCTCCTCTTGCAAGAGCCATGGTTCACCGACCAACTTTGTAGTAGGGAGGTTTCTATAGTTTAGGCTAGAGAAAAATGCATGCAAAAGCTGAAACAAATCAACTAAACAAAAGTAAAACCAACCTCCTTCAACTGCTAGATGCTTTTAACAGCTAATTACAGAAATGATTTGCAGAACTTGCATTCAAGGGGGGGAAGAAGGGAACAGCCAGCAAGACGTGACAGAGATGTGCAGCAAATAATGTCCCAGCAAAAGACACCCTTGTCCATTTGATGTATTTAATATTAAGAGAACAAAATGTCTTTGACAATCAAGTAATTTTAAAACAAAATATAAGAACCATTCAGGTTTTTATGGATTTACTTCTATTTAGAGATCAAAGTCTCAAGACTCCAGTCCCTCCCTGGTATGAAAGCTTTGTGTACGCTCGCAATGTGGCGAAATGAAACCCGCAAGGGGATCCTGCTATGAACTCTCTGAAGCTGGCCTATGCAGTTCAGCTTTGCATTAGTTGGTGTTGCACATCTTAACTCCTATTTTTTTCCCTTACAGAGAGTAGGACAACCCTGTGTTGCAGATCCAAGCGCACAGCAGACACAAAATCAACAGAACTGTGCAGCTGAGTAGCTTCTGGGGAGCAAAACTGGCCAGCGATTGGAAGTGGCATTTTGAGTGCTCGATTCTGTTTGTTTGCAGAATTAAGGATACTTTAAAGTTGCTTTCATCTAACTTTGAAGCTCTCTCAAACCTACAAACTTTTACACTTAATACTCCTCAAGGGAAAGATTTTTAAATAAACACTTTAAAAAAAAAAATCTAATTTTTCTTCCATAGATGCTATGAATATGTGCAAGCACATACATGCATTCTCCCTTCCTTCTGAAGTGCGGTGAAAGAGGAGGGTTTTTTTCCTGAGCACTGAATTTCTCCCCATCTGGTTCCATTTTTTTTACTATTTTCTTTTTTTGGTTTCCTTCTCTCTCATTCCAATCCATATTTATTTCCTTTTGTTTAGTCTGTACTCTTTATTCCCTTTCCACTTTTTGCATATTTTCGTTTTAATTTGTTAGGGAA